TAGTCACTATATAGTGATAAATCAATTTTAAATACACCCCAGTCCTGAAGATGGTCAGTCGCTGCCTTGATAGCTTAACAGTAACATCTCTAATATGAAGCTGGGTAACACGTGATCGAGTCCGTTAGGGAGCATCATTTCCCTTAAGAATACAGGTTCACTTTGTTGACAAGTGCCAGGTAGCAGGGTTTTCTGTCAATCGCCTTCAACCACCACCCTAGGTTTCGTCTAATTTACCAACGAGTTTTTGTGCAAATATTCTGAGCATAAATATTTGATGAATCAGTAGTTTATACTGATATATAGAAGATTTATAAACGTGTTTGTTTTTATCTGTTCTAATTTTCTTCCGGGAAAATGAGATAAGGGTCATTAAAACAAAAGCTTGATTGAGTTATACCATAAAATTCATTAAATAACATACTACCAAAACCGGTTAACTAATTGTGATTTCATTGAAAAGTCAATCAAATGAGTATGATTATCATTTGATATAAACAACTTTACACAACTTGAATGTCAAGTACTAATTATCATTGTTTTGTTTTTCACATGTGATAAGTATTCCTTGAATTATTTCACCCAACAGATCCTTCATAAACAAAAATGATCTTAAGAATTCATTCATTGAATTAAGATGAATAAACATTTCTACTAAAAGTAGTTTTCAAAATTGTTTAATTATAATGTTTTCGTGTAATGTATGATATTTAGAATATAATGTACATATTTGTATACAAACTTAATCGTCTTCCTTCGATGTATATTCATTCATATCACTTATTCAGCATAATAACTTCAATCAAGGTATCTTACTTTACTCGTTACTAAAGTAAACACATTAATTTCAGTATTGTGTCATAGCGTATTTTATTGTAGTGTCGGTTATTATGTTAAGCCCATATAACTTATTCTAGCTTTCGGACAGACCATTTCATTCATTCCATTTGAGTCACATTTTGACTTTGTTAATTATTCGCTTATCAGTCTTGACTGTTTTTATATGAGCGTGTATGCGTGTACACTTCATATCCCATTACTCATCACATGTCTGTAGCTTACTTTTTTGTAACTTTAATTATTGATTAACGCTTGGTTAAAGGGGAGTTGGCTTATCCGCCATCGCCACTGCGCGTCGTTTTGCTTCGTTCTATTCCATTCACTTTACATACAAAATATATGTATTTAAAAATTCATTCTCGTTATTTGACTTATTAAATTCCGTTACTGACTAACATGATTTAAGTCGATGATCATATACGAGGATAGGCGATAATAAACATTCATACGATCTAAATGACGACAAAATTAACGGGCCTCCGCATTGTCATTACTCAATGCTCTAAGCATTTTTACTGAGAAATGAGTAAAAACACTGAATTACTAAAAGGATATTGTTATACATATCACAGAGTTTGAAAACGCTGTATGTAAAGTCAATCGACTAATCTGTGAGTGAGTAATCTAATTAGAACTATTACAAATATGACTAGAACCAAAAAATGTTTTAATTAAACTACCGTTCCGATAGGATAGCGTCAGATACTTGTATTAAATAATATCAGAGTTAGACCAAGGTTGTGGTTAATTTTGGTTAAGCCCTTTTATTAACTTACTTAACAATGTTATTGGAACAGTAACAATTTCTTTGTATCGTTTTTTTTGTACCGTTATGATCACTAGAGTACATGGCACACTCTAGCTAAAATGTTGATCACTTAAATATCACTCGATGATTCATTCTTCTCCCAATGTATATATGTACTCAAATCCTATTATTAGTCCTTGCTTTGTCTTGCTGCGCCCTTATGCAATTTGACTATAAATTTGCCCATATATACTTATTCGCATCTCTAATTCACATTCGCTCGATTTGCATATAGCACTATCCGTTAGTAAACTGTAGTTGCCATTTCATATTGCCTTCTGATTTTAAACACCGTTGAGATTTATATTATCACGGTTATCAAGGTGATCGATTAAAGAAACAAAGCCACTACAGTCACTTAGTATCCACATAACGTGACATTAAAACTCTATCTAGACAAAAATCAAACGATCTTTATTATCTAACAAATACTTTGTTGTAAACATAGGTAAACTTTTTATTGCGGAACTTCTCAAAGTGAGTCTAAGATTTTACTAAGTGATTTTCTTCATTTTAGTAGTTTGTCAGATTACTTAGGAATCAATGTTTTACATTTATTTAGTACAGTTTTGTTTTTGGAAATATTAAACCTAATGGTGATCATTTTTGATCTAGTAATTTTGAATAATAATACATTTAAAATATTCAAGAAATGAATGAATGTAATTTGTATACTAAATGATTAGTGTATATGATTAAATCATGATTTAGTTCATCTGATTTCACAACAATAATAATTTACTTAAACAAAGATGGATAGTGGCTAGCAGTTGAATGCAGGACGCAGGCTTCGTCCTATTTGGGACTCGTCAACTGAATGTACTTGCATCCAAGAGTTGATGTTCATCCAGGACTCGAATTCAGTACTATTCGTTTCAAAAGCAATCGTGTTATTCACTTAGCTACTGAGTCCTAATGGCCACCTACTTGTGAAGTTTAAATTCACTTGGTGTTGTTTTACTTGTATCTTCCAATTGTTACTTAGGACTGCAATTGATCAGTCTCTTGTTGGCGTTTGAAGCGAATGGTACTGGGTTCGAGTCCAAGAGTGAACATCAACTCTGGAATGCAGGTACATTCAGCTGACGAGTCCCAAATAGAACGAAACGCGCAGCCTGGATTCTACTGCTAGCCCTACTAATCTTTGCTTGAAAAGCTTGTGACTGAATATTATATCAAGGCAATCCGCACAGGATGCACATAACAATGAGGAGATACAAGTAAAAATAACACCTAGTGAATATGATAATTCACTTAGTTTAATAATCATAATTCATTATCACATAAAACTATAGTAGAAGAAACAAACTAAAATTAGTGTAAATAAAGCTTTTTATATTGTGATCTATTTTGAGATTGGGTTACTCTATGGAACTATCATTCATATGAATTTTGATCAAAAGAGAGAGTTTTTTAGAATAACCCTAGACACTTCGTCGAAATCATAGTAAAATACGAACAAAATCAACATATCATGTAACTTTTAATTTACTCTCAACTCATCATTTTGATGGTTTATGATTTAAACATAAACAAGAAATTGATATCATCATATAAAACTTAGAGTGTACTTTCAATTAAAACATAATGTAAAACACACATATTTGTTAGTGTACTTAATAAGAACATATAGTGGTGCCTAGTCTGTTGTATACCCTGATGATGTTCTCGTGACTTTCAGGTTGCTTGATTTTCCAAGAGTGATGGAACAGTACATGATGGTATTGTTTTATGCTAGGTTCAAAGAGAATTGTATACTGTAAGCATGCAAATCTGCCCCTATATTGTTTCTATTGTTCTTACATATTTGTTAATGTAATTAGTAAGAACATATTAGTAAATTATTTGAAGAAACATCAATGAGAATTACATAATTTACAGTTTAAACTATTACAATATCCATTATTTGAAAATGAATTATGGTTAATATCTTTGAATAAAGAAAATAGACATTAACACAGTTGAATGCCGGCTCAGTGAACTAGAGGTCAAGCGCTCGCGCGCGAAACTGATAGGTCCTGGGTTTGAACCTTGCGAGGCTGGGTTGTGGATGCGCACTGCTGAGGAGTTCCACAATAGGATGAAGCGGCAGTCCACTGCTTCCAGGTTTTCCACGGTGGTCTAGCTTCAATTGACTCATAATATCAACCATTCAAATAAAATTGTTGATTTAATATTGAATTTATGCTTTGAAATTTAATATGTTTATTTTGTTTTAATTTGTCTAAAATCGAATAATAAATGAATCGTATAGGATGGTTATCATACTTATAAGATTTATTGATACATTGCATGACTGGATAAAAGGGAGAAAATGAATCCGAATTATTTAGAATATTTTTTGTTTGTTTTAGTGTTCAGTGTTACTTTATCTATGTCAGTTTATTTCGGTTTTAAAATGGTTCTTCTTTTGAATTTACTCAAAACCTAAAAACTGAAACAATACTGAACGTTCATTGATTTGTTGAATTTTATGGTACTATTGAAAATGATAAAAGAGAACGATTACTTTAATAAATATATTCATTAGTCGATTAAAGCTAGATCATCACTGAAAACCTGGAAACTCTGGACAACCGTTTCATTCAATAGTGCCCACCCATGATCCTGCATGCAGGACTCGAACCCATGACTTTCGGTCTCACACACGAACGTCCAACGTTTAGATCACTGAATCGAACGATTATTTACTAAGAGAATAATTAAATGTATTAAAGTATGATTCTTGAATTGGTTGACTGAAATTAATGATTATGAAAAATTATTCAATATTAAGGAAAGTAACAATCATAAGTTGTTGTTTATATTACTTACTCAATTGATAAAATATTCTCATATTACTATTCTATTGCTACTAAAATCAAGCCAACCGGTTGCACGGAACAATGGCAAAATATGATGAGGAATAATTATAAGCTACTGTTACTAATGACCATCTATGGTGCATGTTATCACAAACATTTTCATTGCTTATATCTTTTGATGTAGAACTGCAAAGTTAATCATCTAAACTAATGTTTTATCAATACTACACATGATCCTTTATATTATGCGGTAGTGTTTCAAGGCTACTTCCTTATTCACATGAAATTACTTGTATTTTACAAAACGTTTGGTAAAATCTCTGACTATATTATCTCAAACATTTACATACAATAAACACTGAAATTTAATGGGTCTCTACATAATATATATTCTTGGTGGTCGAAGTTTTAATAGTATTTCCAGTCTTAGTGTTCCGATAATGTTAATCTTATCAAACAATGAACTGTCTTAGCAAATTGTGCATGTATAGTTTAGCAGTAGATATCTAACTACTGGTCTCCATTTATACCGATTTAGAACATTTGGGACATTTGTGCAAACTTGACTAAACAAGAAATTCAAGATTTGTTCAAGCCGACTATCTTTATCTACCTCTCAATCTGACCACGAAGGAACACATCTTATTCTAGATTGATATCATCAATGGGTCAGTATTAGACCACCATTGAGAATCTGAAAACAATAGACGGTCATTTCGTCTTAGTATAGGACTCCTCAGCAGTGCGTATCCACAATCCAGCACACCGGATTCGAATTCACGATTTTCGGTCTCAGTCATCCGATGTTTTATTTCAGGTTTTCAATTGTGCTTTGTGATTAATCCAATCATAATATCATTTTAAACTCAACAATCTCTACAACTTTATTTACTTGATAAATACATAATTAGTTACATTTTTCATTAAAAGTCATAACACCTAGTCATTATTACCTACTAACGAATAAAACTTCAGAATTGCTTTTAGAACAACTAGTTTAACATTCATAAGAACAAAAAGTATATCTCCACTAATTTTTTATGATGTATAGTAATGAAATAACATTTATGTTTAGATACATATGTAATTTAACAATAATATTTGTTATTGCAGTTATAATAAAGTCATATGCAACTTGTATGACATTATTTACAATTAATTAGGATATAATAGACATAGACATATATATTATGTAATACAATAATACAATACTCTCTATATATATCGAATCTCAATTCAAGGAATGTATAAATACAAATGAAGAAGAATTGATCCATACATTTAGAATAAGATTAGATCTTTTTATTCAACAATATATAAATTGAATCAAATGATCTATTCATTTCATTCATCATTGTTAAGTATCATTCATATTCATTTTATATACATTTTAATTTTTGACAAATAAGTAGATGTATATCAGCTCGAAAATTTGGATTCATAAAACCATATATAATTGGATTAATTGCATTATTTATATAATATAAATAAAATATTGGTAAATATAATGGTACATATTGTATAGCCATTAACATAGCTGGTATAAATGTCACAATATAAACAACGGCTACAACAAATAACATTGCTGCTGTTTTTAAATTTTGAAATGCAATATTATCTTTGATTGTTTTCATTGAACGACGTGTTTTCTCTTCATTTATAATTAAATTGGTTTCATAATTTAATGTAATTGGTTGAATCATTACTGATTCTGTATTATGACAACAATTTATAGGAACCAATGTATTTGATTTCATTGTTTGTGGTTGTTGTTGTTGTTGTTCGTGGTGGTGATGGTGTTGTTGTTGTTGTTCTTCGTGGTGTTGTTGTTGTTGTTGTTGTTGCTGATGATGATGATGATGATGATGATCGTGTTTTTGTGATGGATCATTCATTTCTTCATTATTTTTTATATCAATAGTATTACATGATAAAACATTTAATGGTTTCATTGTTTCCGTATAATTTGATTCAGATATTATAGTATTATTTATATGTTGATTGAATCCATCACATTGAGTGAATGGATTATCTTGATTTGTTAATGTTAATTTCATTGGGGATATTTTTATTTTTTTCGATTTATAATTAAATAAATTTCTAAATGTAAATTCACAGTTTTTCTTTTTTTTATGATTTTTTTCGATTTTTTTATGGTTTTTATTCTCTTTTTTTACACCTTTTAATTCTAAACGTTTTTTAAATACCTAATAATTGAGAAGAAAAAAAAACATGAGAGAAAGAGAAAACAATGTAACAGATAATGAAAAGTAAACAAGTAGTTTAATGGTTGAATTCATGAGTCAGGTGAAGCTAGACAACCTGAAAGTATTAGACAGTCGTTTCGTCCTATTATGGGACTCCTCAGGAGAGCGCATTCACGATCCTACCCGTAGGACTCAAACCTAATATCTATTGAACTCGCACTTGAACGCTTAACTTCTCGACCACTGAGTCGAAATTCAAAGTTGTTAATGTCTAACTTCAACTAATTCACGAAATTGAGCCACATGTCCACCATTGATTTCAGTGGGTTACTATCTCACAACATACTCAGATGAACTCCACTGGTCACTGATTCTTAGCAGAAGTTCAAGAAATACCTCGTGAAGCCAGTCACTATTGAGCATATGCTGATTATAATCAGAATGTGATTTCTGTGGACATTTTATGAATTTAATAGTTAAAGTCATGAGTCTTTTAATGGTAGACCACTATAAAAAACCTGGAAACACTGGACAACTGTTCAATTGATCGATGGTTTTTAATAGTGGACTAGCTTTAATCTACTCATGAATTCAGCCACTACAATCTCGACAAAACCCCCTTTTTTATAATGATCTATTAAAGCATTAGTTATTATTGTAAGATTATTATCAAGGACAATTAACAAGAATGAATCTCAAAAACAAAAAAAATTAAGCTCTTTCAACTATTCGACCTAATTTCGATCAATTTTTATTTTAACCGCTAAAATGATCTGATTTTATTGGATAATAATAATAAACAAATAAATTAAAACATGACTAGTGAATACTTTAGTTCGACAGTTTCTAATAGATCAAATTGAATCATTTATTGATTCCTGCAAAAAAAACAAAAAAAAACAAGTGGAAAATTATGTTACCTATTAAAATAACCTCGAATATGTAGAACGATAGATCTATGATACCATCTTACATTAACAGCATTAGATACTGGCTTAATGGTCTAGTGGTTAAGCGCCTGCGCGTGAGACTGATAGGTTCTGGGTTGGAAACTCATGAGGCGGGATCGTGGATGCTCACTGCTGAGGAGTCCTACAATAGAACGAAACAGTCATCCACTACTTCCAGGTTTTCCATGTTGGTCTAGCTTCAATTGATTCATGATCTCAACTATTTAAATTAATATAATATACACAAAAATCCTTTCAATACATTATTCATAACTTAACAAAAAGTCTCAGTTCTCATATTCAAAATTATACGTTTCAAGCTTCTGCCTGCTATGCATCATTATAATCTTTATAATAAATATCCTCTTAATATTATTTATGAATAACATCATCTTTTTCTTAAAGAGTTTAATCTTAATTACCTGTCATCTACATATCTTATTATGTTTCTATATCAATCTAAATATCCACTTGAACTAGCGTGTGTTCTATTATTAACTTAGGAATAAAAGTTATTTATTTTGCTTCTCATGTAGTGATTTAGTTCAGATAAATGAAAAAAACAACTAATTAAAATGTCATATGTAAATTTCTAATTACTTTTAATCAAAATGTTAGTAATATGTGGACAATGATATGTGTTGATATTGTTTGGTAACATGAAAATGATTGATGAATATCTATTATTGAAATATTGTTGGTATGTTAATGTTACTATGTATCAATCAGTCAATCACTGTACGTAATTTTTTTTTATTAAGATCATGAGCCGATTGATGTTAGACCACCGTCGGAAACGTGGCAGCATTGGACAGCCGTTTCGTCCTATTTTGGGACTCCTCGGCAGTGCGCATCCACGATTTCACTCGCGGGATTCGCACGCGTAACCTACTGGACCACTAAGCCGGTACAATGTACGTAACTATTGTGTCAAGTATTGTGTTTATGAACTACGTAAGTTTAGCATGTTTATTGGTTAGCAATTAAATTATGATGTGAATTTACTGATAGTTTCTATAATACTCATTAAAAAGTTGATCAACATATGACTAGTCAGTCGTCCAACTCAATTAATTTAGTACCAATAGAAATTATTAAGATGCATTCTTAACGAAACAACATATAAATGTTATTATAGTTTAAGTGAAATAGTAATTTTACTCGAAGATTGTGCTTCAAATCTTGTCTAGTTATGTGTCCAGACCTCGAGTTTCAACACGCTTGTTTTAAATTTGAAATTATGGTTAAACAGTAAATTAGTAAACATAGCGATACATTTTCGCTGAAATACGGTTGAAATCTTATTATTTCAATGATAAGCAGATGAACTGGAAAATTATTCTCTATGCCCTAAGAAGAGATTAACTCCCAGATAGCTCAACAATAAGTTACTTTATTCATTCAAGATTTTCATAATCTTGGTGATCCAGTTGACGGGTATCACATAGGATGAAAAGCGCGTTTTTGGATCCCACTGTTAGTGACTATCCATTTCTGCTTAAATATCATCACTGACATCAACAATCTTTTTTTATTTTGTCGCAATTCATAGCTTGGATCTATTCCATGCTTAAACTAACAATATGCAATAGTGCTAAATAACAAATTTATTGTGGATGTTTCTATCTTTTTATATGTGCGTTTTTCACGACTCCTCTATAATATATATAATATCTAGAGCTTACATTCTTGATATACCGCGTACTATTTGAGCACTCGAACGCTAGAAACCTATAATTGGAAAACGAGAAAACAGAAGACGAGTGAGAAGAAATGCTACTCCGAACAGTGTCAAATATAGTACAAAACTGTTAGGTGTTTATAGATTCTGGAATATTATTTCAATAGATGACTTGGTGGAATGTCATCAGCTTCTTCGATTTCATTCGTAGGCCATCCTCACAATATTCAATTTTTTTATTGGAACATATACTTATCCATATATCATTTGAAATCAGTAATGTTTATTTTTGAAAAATAACAGTCGATACATTTTCATCTTGACACTACACCTCAATTTCAATAGTCTACCGTGTAAATGAAATAAACGGATGAAAATCTATGCAAGAATAGATTCTCTATTCAATGTGATAATCTAACATATAATGTTTAAAAGTAGAAAAAATATAAACACTGGCAAATTACGGATTGAATCAACGCAGACTCAGACAATAAATCTTATATTTTAACTTGTATAGAAGAATAAAGTTTTCTTGTTTATCTGAAGAAAGTGAATGTCTTATTTTTAGTACATATATGTAACTGTCTTGACTATTATTTCAATGAATTGGAGCATGATGCATTTCATAGTTTATTTCTTTTCAAGCATGATATAAATTAACAAAATGATTTAAACCAACAAGATATGTTAATATATACTAAGATTTTTAGACATTTTTGATCCGCATAACTCATTCATAATTAGCCTATCGATGGTAAAAGAAACAGTCTGTAATTTTATCGCTTGTAGAAAACAAATTATTACATCATAAAAATAATAGCTGTTATATTTAGAGCTTAGATTGTTGATATACCAAGTACTACTTGAGCACTCGAACGCTGGAACCCTGTAAGTTGAAAACGAGAAAACAGAAGACAAGTGAAAAGGAATGCTATTCGGAATAGTGTCAAATATAGTACAATACTGTCAGGTGTTTATAGATTTTAGTAAAAGTAAAATCATCATTATAGTCATCCAATCCGCATACAGTGGTATTTAGCATTTGTCCAACAGGAGAGGTATACGTAGGGATTCTGGAATATTACTTCATTAGATGACTTGGTGGAATGTCATCAGCTCTTTCTGACCTTCCTAGAGCTTCTTCAAGTTCACCCGTGGGCCGTCCCCACATAAGTCTTTGCTGTTTTCTTTTTAATTTTACACCTTCAACTTCATTATTTCTATATTAGGGCGTAAATGAATTTCTCGTTTATATACACTCATGGTAAATTATCATTTCATAGTGTTAATTAACTAACTAGCGATAATTAAAAATGATAATAATATCGTGAATTTAATACATCCCGGCAAGTCAAAAACCAAAGTTAACAAGTATATACATGTTCTAGATAAAGGTTGCATATACCCGAAAAATTATTTACCTTATGTTAAATACAAAATAAGGTTATACCATTGTAATTCACTAAGCAGTGTTAAACGTTATTTGTGAATTGATGGTTTACCTCTATTCTATAGATGGTATGTAAAGACATAAGAAAGTGACTGTTAGGTTTCAGAGTAAGAGTCAAAATATATTACTAATTATCAAACGTTTCATGAATACATTTAAACCAAACATTCATGCACATTTGGTCATTACAAAATCTCCTACGAGTTATAATAAGGAAACCAGAATTATATGTGGGATCCTTTTAAAAAAAAAAGAACTTCAATCTACCACCTTTAAAAAATGTTTCGAGCATTCAGAATTGTTCAGAGTTGTCAATTAGATAAAACGGAACATTTGGAATTTACCAGACATATTGACCTGACGAGGTTTTTTTGGTTTGAATAAACAACAAAAATTAACGAAGGTAATTTTGAATATATACGATTTCTATAAATACATCCCTCAGTAATCTATTCATCATTCACTTTTGCTAATACATATTCTTTACCAATAAAAGTAGGTATACTTGATAGCAAAGGAAATATTTTATCAAACTGATAAATTAACTTTCATTTTTTTCTCATTTATACATTAAGTATAAAACTTAAGCGAATGTAATTTTTTTCCCGTTAACTTTTTATTGTGTTCAAACAAAATTCTACCGTTTAACATTTGAATGTAGGAATGATCTCTAATTAACTAATGGTGAATTTAAAAGAATCTAAGTCTCAAACCCGAATACCCTCAAAAACAGTCCTAATATAGGAGAGAACAAACCAACTTCTAAACGAAGAGGAAACTAGGGAAAGACGTTGAAAGCGGATAGGACACACATTGAGGAAATCATCAAACTGCAACACGCGGCATGTGCTAACTTGGAATCCTGGAGAGAAATGATTGAGAGGAAGGTCAAAGAACACACTGCGTCGGGAATTGGAAGAAGACATGTAAAGGATGAATAGCTACTGAAAAAAACTGAAAAGGGCTGTCCAGAACAGAGTTGAATGGAGAATCCTGGTGAGCATCCTATGCACCATCATGAAGAGTAACAAGTGTAATTAAATAAGTAAATGTTAAACGGTTAGTGAAAATGATTGAATAAATAATAATGTAATAAGTATGCAACAAGAAGTTTGGATTATTAATGTTTTAATCCCTTGAAAGACGTATTTATCAATTAAATTAAAGAAAATGAAGGACTGGGCTTTAAATAAGTTAAACGGTATTGGTACAAAGAGAAACCTGACAAATATTTTATGAATGCAAGTATTAAATTTATCTATATCAATTTCCTTTGATCAATTCTATTTTCAGTAGGTAACATCTTGAAGCATAATGCATGTTGAATAGGATTCATAATAAACAATTGATGATGAACAACAAGTTTTTGATAGTTCTTCTTAATCATTTACTCAACAACAAATGACAATGATGTAAAATACAATGCTGAACTTATTTCGTAGTTCCACAGGCTTAAACGAAATGATAAACGTAACGTAATTATAACTATTTGCCAGTTTTAAATCAACATGTTTAATTACGTGAAATTCAATAGCTATGTAAAAATATCAATTACCATATAATAGTCTACAGGAAATATTTTTTCTGTAACGATTCTCTCAGTTATGCAATGAAAGCCCTAAGAACAAAAACATATAAAATCATAAACTATCTCTGGTATTACTCAACAATTTTGTATATCATGATTGTTTTATTTTCAGAATGAGTTTTGTGGAGATTTTAGGAAATTTCACAGGTTGAAATCATGAGTGCGCACTGCTTAGGAGTCCCATACTAGGACGAAACGGCCGTCCAGTGCTTCCAGGTTTTCAATGGTGGTCTAGCTTCAACTGACTCATGATTTCAACCTGTGAAAGTATTTTATTTATTTATTATTTATTTGAACACATATATATTAGTACAGGAGGGCACCAAATATATATGCGCCACACAAAACAATGAGAATTTGAAGAGAAGAAGGAAGAAGAAGGTGAGGAGCGTAAAAAAAGAGAACAATAACGAACAGATTAGTGTAAGGTAGCGTAATAATAATAATAGTAATAATGGGGGAAACAGAATGGTACAATCAGAAGAGATCTTTCAGTTAAGGAAGAAGCAACCACTTTTTATGAAGAAAGTAAAAGAAGGTTACAGCAGGATCGCCATAGGCTTCTATTCTGAGTCATATCTGATAACGTCTCTAGCCACTGTGTTGCACCATCTCTGGTACCCCAGCCAGGGAGTCATGAAGGACCAACAGAAGCCAGCCCTTCGCAGCCTTCTTTCTTGCCACGACACCATGTCATATACTGACCACCTCTCCGCTTTTTCCAACCAGTCCCAACGTCGGCAAATAATATACGACGTGGAATTCTCTGGGACGACATTCGGAGAACATGTCCAAGCCACCGAAGTCGGTGTTTCAAGATGGTGACACCAATTGAATTATCATCTCTGTGCCCGAACACACGATGACGAACCTTTGCATTACTAACATGGTGTTGCCACTGGATGTTAGTCGGTGACCAAAAATTGGTTCATGCACCATTTGTTCCCGCAGGATACTGGAGCCCATATGCACCATTGGTTCGGGATCCGGTTAGAGCGCCGGACATATCATGATGGTAGTACGTATTTCAACTACATAGAAACACATGTATTTCAGCAGGTTCCAATTAGTAACAATAACCTTTGAAGATAAATAGTACTTAAAAGAATCCATAAATACCTCTAAATGTAACCCAGATAATTAAAATTCAATTTATTTGAGTATGACCCTTCTTTTTTGTGGTCATTTCGAGTCATCATATATTTTCAATATCATTAGGTGTTAGTTACTTATCTCTATCTTATTCTATCTAATAGTTAACATCTATTTTATTATAAATCACGTTAATAATATAAAACTAAGATTCATTTTGATCATAGTTTCTACTCAATAGATCATGTGTTGAAATGTTATGTTTGTTTACTTTGTAGACAAACAAACAAACAAACAAACAAACAAACACACAAACAAAACAAAATAATATAAACATATTATATGATCAATAGATTTCTATGATTGTAAATGTGTTTACTTTATTGATTATCAATAAAACCATATTAAAACTAACCAAATATCTGGAACATACGTAAAATAATTTTTTTCTATTATTTTATCCCAACCTGTTTTTTTTGTTTTTGTTTAAATATTGATTAGATAAATTGAGAAAACTTTTTTACCGCATATTCAACAGATGAAAAGAAAATAAACAAAATGGTAAAATAATAAGCCTTAAAGTTGGTTGTTAGTTGAAAAATGGTATACACGTATAACTAACGTCTGCATAAGTAATGAAATAGTAGACTGTCCTAGGAAGTCCATGTTCAGATTTGATTAGCTTCCTTGATTGATTTAATAGTCGAAGATTTCTGACTAAGCTATCTGATTTTATAGTTTACAGTTGTCATATTACCAGAAAGAACTTAGGCTCTCAGGTAGAGTTATGATTTTGTGTTATAACGGTTGAGTTTTTTTTGTATACGTGTATGCACGAATGGGACGTTAATTTACCTTAAACGAATATCTACACTAGATTCTCTTCCAGTGTCTATTCTATAGGACTTCAACACAATTCAGATCAAGGACACGTGATTAGCCTGACCACAACGTAAATATATTTCCACACCAAAAACCTGACAGGATCCAACAAAAATGAACAATAAATAATAGGTGATAATAAGGATAGGGGAATATGATAACTCATCTGACACTTGTCAGACTGTCTACATGTCTGACTAAGCAGACAACCAATCATTATCATTCTTGCCCACACATGACTTTGTAATATCGTATTTAAATCAGCTGTCGTATTCAACGCTTGATCTTCATGAATTTTCTTTTCGCAGCTATCATGTTACCAGCGAGAACTTAGGCTCTTCAGTAGATATTCATGATTTCACAACATTGTATTTAAATCATCTGTAGTATTTCAACACTTCATCTTGATCAGCATAAATTGATTAGTTTACAACTTCATGATTGAATGTGAAAAAACTTAACGTCTGTCCTATGGATTTGAAGTGTGAACACAGTTTGCCAATAAACAAAAATAATCATTGATATGTTTTACATTCAAAAATTATCTGAAAATTATGTTATTGATGTGAACACAAAACCTAATTACCATCTCCTACAATGTGACTTCATTATCTTATTAAATGAACCGATGAAAACTGTCGAATTTTTTGTTGCAGGCATTTCATAAAAAGACAGTGAGCTACAACGTAGGACCAGGCACATATATGCATCGGTTCAAGTTGCCATACCTCATTAACACAATAAGATGGACACCGGATTCATAAAAGTAGTTAATTAGGGAGGTTGATTATGAATACAGTGGTCTTGAGTGCTGTTAGAGGTATGAGGGCGGTTATCACTTGCATGTTCCTCACAACATGGAAAGACAGAACTAATTTTATTAAGTTCGTATAAAAGTCATATTATGTCAAGACTTTCACAGTTTTGTTTATAAACTACAATGATGATAATTTAGGATTATCTGTTAATAATTACCCACAATTTACTAGTAACCCTGTATAACCCATTTAAACCAGCACATGTTTAACCAGATCATAAATGCGCTTAAATTAAACCACTTAAGCTAAACATTAATGTTATCTGTTATGAAATAGTCAAACTGAACATAGCAAATGACTGATTTCCAATCATCTTCATTTTTTCAAAGAAAAACCTCAGTAAAACCCAACGATAAACACCATTCATAAAGTAAGCCAAAGATGATATTATCAAAATGAAAAAAACAAACAAAAGATTAAACTTACTTTTGATACTGAACGATAAATCAATATATAAAGTGTAACGACGCAGAGAATGCATAAAATATAACTGCATGTTTGACTTTTTTGTACAATCTGATATAGAACTGTTTCTATCATTGTATGATTTAATTTTAATATTTCTGTACATTCAAATTTTTCACTTTTATAATATGAATTAAATGAATAATCAAATTTAATAGTTGAATTATAATCTATAGTTTTGTTGCTATGACGATTATTATTATTATTATCATTATTATTGATTATATTTGTATCAAAATGAACTTGTTCAACTCTAACAGTAAATGTTGAACTAAATCCTAATATAATACATATAAAAATCAATATTAAAATGACACGTTTAGCTCGTTCTCTTGTTAAAATATTTTTAAATGGATGACATAAACAAAAATATCTATCAAATGCTATACAACTAATTAATAAACTACTGAATGGTATAAAAGTATTATTTATAAAATAATAAAATTTACATAAAAATGTTGAATCAATATTCCATTCAACATATTCTATAATCATTGTACCAGGTATCAAGGTGATACATGCTAAAAAATCTGATATAGCTAATATAAGTATAAATAATGTAGCTGTTAAACGATCTTGTTTTAATGAATATACAATAATAACAAGTGTATTACCAAATATTCCAATTAAACAAATAATACCTAACATTATTAATACAGTTGGAATTTGATTTGATAAATCAGCTGTCATTAAAGACATGAATAATGATTGTTATTATTATGATTATTATTGTTGTTACTTTTGTCGTTGTTGTTGTTGTTGTTGTCGCTGTTTTCCTTTAAGAATATGATTTAGGAAGAGTTCATCATGTTATGTAGTAACATTAAACTTTGAAAATCTAAAATGATGAAACAAACAAAAAACAAAAGATTAAAATGAATGATTGACTTAGATAGTAGAGATATTGATATGATGGAAAGAAAAGTCAATTTTCGATTGATTTACTCATTATGAGTTTTGTTCAACATTACTTCCCTTCTAATTCAACATGAGGATTATTTCGGTGTAGTATTTGGGTTGGTTTTCCCAGTATGATATTTTCTTCGGTATAATATACGATATTCTTGTATTCAGTTGACATGAACTATGCATAGTAAGTGATTTGTTATAATTGAGTATGTGATTTAATCATAATTATTAATCAAAATGGGTGTACAGTCAGTATATAAACCAGTGCATTTTAGACTATTTTGATTCGTCGTCGTCATAGTGTTTGAGGCCAATAAATCTTCACTTATACAAGTCTTGTGTTCTTACTTTCTCATCGCGGGAATTGCCGAGGTCCCTCATTCCGAGTTTAAGTGATCAGCGTTTTTCCGGCACAGAAATCAACGACAATCAAATATAACAGATATATTATTAACTCACAAACTGAATATTATCAAAAGGAGTTTGTAGATATTATAGTGGTTTTAATAATTGAAATCATGTGTTAATTGAAGTTAGACCACCATGGAAAAGTTGTCTAGTGCTATCAGGTTTTCCATGGTGGTCTATTATTTATTTATTATTTATATAAAAACATAAACATTGATACAAGGAGGCATCAAATTAATATGCGCAACATAAATCATCCAATTTGTGTGAGAGCTGGGATGCTGCCAGGTGTTCAAACCGAAGTAGGTGGTTTTCGTAGGAGGCCAAACCACAGCTTTTGACCAGAAGGTCTGATCCACAAGGTAGTGGAGAAACGTCAGTACATGCAGTCCTATGGTAGCCGGTGATCAACAATTGGTTCACATGTCATTTGTTTCCTTAGGATCGTGGAACACATGTACACCATTGGTTTGGAATCAGGGTTTTCCAACTCCCTTAGATGGATCATCCGTGTCCACCAATCCGAGTAAAATGCCGGACATTAGCTTTTCGTCCTCTTAATTTCGTAAACAACAATAATACCGCGAGAAGGCAGTAAGTAGGACTTCCCTGGTAGTGATTATATGCACGTGGCCACTTGAAAGCATCTGGAGAGAGAGAGAGAGAGAGCTGGCCGTCCTCACTCTTGGCCGTACCAGGGCATTTAGGGGCTCATCAGTGTCTAAATTCAAATGACTCATGATCTCAACCATTAAAATTGAATATTGTTTGCAAAATGTCAGAAACAATTATTATCGTCAGTTACATGTTTTACTTCAAGACCACAAACTCTTACATGAAACTATCTTTTTTTGGTTGATATCATGAATCGACCGATGTTAGACTAATATTGGATACCTGGAAACACTGAACAGTTGTTTCATGCTAATATGGAACTCTTTAGCTGTGAACATTCATGATATCACAATTGGGATTGAATCACACTAGATATTCAGAGAACTGAGATATATTTCAAGAACAATCATCTAGTAAGTTAATTACAACATCTTTTCTTGTGTTTTGTTTGTATAATTATGTGTTAATGGATGTTACGTATTTTCATACATAAAGAGATAGATTACAAAATTTAACTGTAATAAGAAAATTTATTCTGTCTAACTATATACCATTCTTAAACATATTATCATTATTATTATTTTATACAAATATTCTTCGAGATTAGAATGAACAGTTTAACAACAATAATTTGGCACCGAGTATAGAAAAGTAATCTCAGCCATTGAAATTTAAATAATTCCAACGTTTCGTCCAACAAACTTGTCTGAACTTCTTCAGGATAATGATCAAAATCACTTAATTCATTTCCTTTTTACATTTAACTTAATAACTTTTAAAAGAATTCAATATTATTTAAACAACTTTGTTTGAATAATTGAAAAACACAATGATCTCTTATTTATAACTTCTATTGTATTTCCTAAGTTTTCAATATATTGGATATAGTTAAGAGATCATTTTATCTACTTTTTTTGCAGTTATACCATTCATGAATATTGTTGAAATGTTTGTTATCCACTTGAGATTATAGAGGATTATCATCTCTGAGGATAAAGATTATGGAAATGTTATGTTCTCAGAAATGGATTGTTTACTTATGAAACTTTTAATATCTTTTTAGACAATATCAATTATGTGCTGTTGATATCGCCTAGAAACATAATGAAAGCTTTAAGATTAAAACATTCACCTCAGTAAATGGTTCTTCTTCTAAATCAAAGTGCTAACCTTATGGAAAAATGACTGTGTAAATTAAAATTTAATTTACTACTTTGTTTTTATATGATACACTTAATTCAAGGTATTACGTCAGTCCTATCCACGTTATTGTGACATCTAATAGATATTATGACGAATAGTTTTACCTTTAAAACACAAACCAATTAGTAAATCAATTTCAGAATGTAAATAAACTTAATGGTAACATCTGTTTACAATCACACAAGGAATAAGAATAATAATAAAAGCCCATAAGATTATAATAATATTCCATCATTTAATAATAAATTCTAAGGGATTTAGGTAGGTAAACTGAATGATATATGTTACTAGCCGATCAACGCAAAGTGGAGCTATTCAATGAATAGTTACATTTTAGCCATTATTGATCATTCTATGAGAGTGACACAACTATTTTAATCAAAAAGAACACGAGTAAGAACAATCGAATGTATTTGAGCACAAAATTACAGAACATCTTACTAAAATCTGAGAACCATATAGTAAATAGTTAATTTCCAAAATATCAATCAATTGTCTCAAACATGACTGTTTTTTTGCAAATATCAGTCTATCGTCTCAGATTTCATTGTTCCTGCATTTTCATACCAATTACTCTTCGTTCCCGTTCTTCCCCTATCGATTTTCTAGTGAAATACATTCTATGTCTGACCATCGTTATATACCACTTATGTAAATATAATGAGCTCACATCACACTATCACTTAATTCATTAGGAATAATCCCAATTGTCACAAGAAAAGTTTAACAGCATCATTAATGAATCAGTTATATCCAGCTTACAATATACAATTTATGACTGGAATAATATCGAATGACAGTCATAATTTATTTTGTCAATCAGTCATAATCTATGAATCATCGAAGATATTCATATCGAAAACTTAACGTATAATTTGTTAAATGTGTGGTAATTTAACAAATATGGACCAATGTATTTGGAATTTATAGGAAAGTTATGAGAATAAATTACTGTCGAAACTAAAACACTAAATAAAAGATCACCATTTCAAAATTCATACGGAAGTGTGATGTGTGCTACTAATGTCAACAGATATAAGTAGTATATATTATCAATCGAAAGTGAAATATCTAGTGGGAGGTTCATATTAATGGAAATAGAAGGAGAACAGTGAATGATTACTGTGGAAGTGAAGGTCCGTTTCTTTGCATTATTATTATCACTATCTTGTCTGTATAAACACGTACTCTTGATCACATGACATATTTCGCTCTCGCTAATATGTTGATAGCTTAACTATCGCTTGATGAATCATTCTATTTCCTATGTGTATATGTACGCGAATCCTAATATTAGCGTTTGACTTGTCTAGTAGTTGCGCATTGATTCCGTTTGACTATAAATTCACCTCTGTATTCGCTCTCACACACACATTAGCCTCTCTGCTTCAAACTCTCTCAATGTGCTTGTATCCTTGTGATCTGTGCTATCCAGTAATAAACTGTAGTTGCCGCTTCTTATTACGATAGAACAATGAGAAGACGGAGTTGATCTCATTGTTCTATCGAAATTTATAAAAGGGACTAATTGCTTCTTATTACCTTTTGATTTCAAACATCTTTGAGATTTATATAATAACGGTGATTGATTAACGAAGATAAGCCACTAAAATATAGTAACTTTGTTATTATACATTAAAACTGTCCATTCTTGAGTGGTACTTATGAAATGATTTTTCGTATTTTTATTACTGATATACTTCAAACTAGGTAAAAAGTTTGAATAATGCAATATGGCTTTCAAAGTTTGAAAGGATATACGTTCTCATCAGTTGTGACGAATGCTGGATGGACTATTTATATGAACTGACCGAGATCCCACATTAATGTGGAATGTCGAAAATTTTTCTAAATTCCCTACAGCAGTTTAAAAACAGCATACAGAAAACTTCAGTCTGTGTTACAAATTTATCAGTACAATTCTAAGTTTAAACGTACCATTCAAGTCTCACTTAGTAAGGGGAAAACATAACCGGATTTACATAGACAAAGTCTTAGACGGATACATACTAGAGATAATGGACAAAATAAACTTCGGTAAATACCTTTTAAAAATAAAAAAGACTATCCCCACAGATTCAATAACAGAAGCATGAAATTAAAGCAATAAATTACACTTACAGTAATCATGTTTTCTAGAATATTGAATTTGAATAGAAAATCATAATAAAGGGTTTGGAAACAAGGTTCAAACTATTATGAACAAAGATTAAATAATTTTGAGGTATGTGTTAAGTATTCCAGCTCTAATCTTATTAGTAAAATTATAGCTGAATCATTTAAAAGCCTTATCTTTTCTTCGTCTAATTTATAGAATTTATCGGGGAGACTATAACTTATGGACGACCTTTGAACGAATTTTATGTGACCTTTAGAAATATTAGCCAAATAGAAAACAGTATAGAGTAAAAATATATTATACAGAATCGAAGAATTAAAGTGGACACACTTCTTTTAGATGGTTCGAAAACTTGTCAAGGTTAAAAAGAGGTTCAGAGATTCTAAAATCCTAATGAACACATCAGAGGAAACCATCTATATGGCTCCATAAAAGGCGATCTCTGGAGCCATGAGAAAGTCGCAAAAACTCGTTCAGCCTCGACCACATAGTTTCAGTATCTTTTGTGTGCACTCTGGTTGTTTGATCCACAAAATGCCATTTGTGGACAACGAAACGATGCATATCAACAAGTTTATGTAGCCATCTGTATGCACTCCAATCATCGGTATATATCATAGTATCCGGTAGCAGACAGTGATATTCGTGCTCTTAGTATCCAGAACGCGACAACTGTCATAATTTGCCTTAGTCTCAATCTAGATCGAGCGAAATGATCCTATTCTAGTAGATGTCTTCCTCCAACACATATTACAACGAAAGACAACATCATCACGGTAGTCTGCACAAGGTCCACAAATCATTTGATTACCACAATCACAAATAAAGTAACTTCTTAGTGGTCCCATTTATTATAGTCTCACATTTTCTCTAAAATCCACTATGAACCGATCGTACATGAGTATCAGGTACTGAAATTGGTGCCATGACCATGAAATCCCTAAAACACTTCTGATTGGCTCATCCATAAATCATAGTCTCGCTAATTTATTTTTATGAAAATTCCCACTAACTTTTTAAAACGAAATGCAATACCCTAATAAGTTAGATGCCTGAAGCGAAAAACAAAACAAAATTTTTATTAGCCTTAATATTAAGTACGTCGCCAACAATTTCTTGATTTATTTATTTTTGGATGGGGGGAGTGTTTGTTTCAAGCAATTCTAGAAAAAAATCACTTTCTCTCACTAGTTTTCCCCCAGTAAAAAAATAATAATTGATTTGAAAAATTATATTTCTTTATTGATCATTCTCGCTACCAATACTTGGTTTCTATCATCTATAGAAATACATAGTGTTTGTGTGTGTGTGTTTTTCTCCATTGTCAAGAATACTTCTATTTTTTTTTCATTTTCTCCATCATATGAAAAATTAGTCGTCAAGTGAAAGGAAATATTTTATTCAATATAATAGATATTTCCTTTCTTTGTTGAGTTGAATATAATACTGAAATATTACAAGTAAAACATAAGTAGGGAGTATGAAGAAAAAGATGGATTAACCTAAGACTTCGAGTTTTGTTTTATTTACTTACGCCTGTTACCGCCTATGATAAGCATTCTCCAACTCACTCACTCTGTCTTGAACCGTCCTTTCCAGTTCTATTCAATTGTGGTTCAATCTTCTCATGTTTGTCTCCATTTTTCGGTGTTCTTTGGTCTTCCTCTTCTATTTTTGCCCTTGAGGATCACAAGTGAGGGCTTGTCTTTTGACACAGTTGCGTAATTTATTCAATGTGTATCCTAACCACTTCCAGCTCTTCTTCCTGACTTCTTCATCTGCTGTAATTTGGTTTGTTCTGTTCCACAATAGGTTGTTGTTGATAGTGTTTGGCCAACGGATACGAAGTATTTTGTGTAGACTACTACTAATAAACAATTGTATTTTCTGGATGATAGCTTTAGTAGTTCTCCAAGTTTCCGTTCCATACAGTGGAGCCATCTTGTATTGAAAGTCCTGACTTCAATGTTGGTTGACAGAAAAAATAATTCAAATCTAACGCTTCATCTGTTATTCATTGAGTTTGATATAAACACTTAATTTAACTAATCTGAAATTTCACTAATTCGGAATTATTTTTGAACAGCTACATTGTTTAAGTGTATTCATGTTTCTAGTTATACTAGAATAGTTTGTAATGACTTCTAAAAGAGATAGCATAATCTATTTAAATGTTGATTGGTAAATGTTTGATCATATTTCTAAACAAAAACATGGTTTGAATTATATCGAAAATCCTGTTCATCCATCATCAAACAAATATGTAAGCTTAGTGCTACACTCTTTTAATCACTAAATTTTGGTCAAGAGGTTTGAAAAGCACCATATATTACTAACATTTAAGTAGTATACTATCATTACTAACTTACCATTTACAAAATCTACAATTCAAACCCAAACACAGTATTGTTTAACTGTTTATTGACTGCCATTATGAATGAAACTTATGCTCCTGTGAACATTTTCACTATTATGTAACAAACATTAGACCTTTGTGCACTTTGCAAACATGAGGATAAAACACTGAACGAATAGTCATAGATAAGAGGAAAGTCAACCTTAAATAATAATCTTACACAAATTGTACATAATCCTTTGAACGATTATTTAAGACTGAAAGTAATATCTGTCTAAATGAAAGAATACTTATCATATATAAGATATTTTTATTTCAGAATGTATCTTCTTCATTTACCTATGATCAAATGTCATTGCTTGTTTTTACCTATGAATACAATAAAATATCATAACAAACTTGATCATAGACTGATTTATCAATTTCAAATCCATGATTGAGTACCTTAATACGTACATATTTTGGCTAAACTCAATAATGTTCACTGGCAGTTATATACCCTATGTTATGTTATGTTTAAAATTGAAAAAAAAAATTACAAAAACCCATTACGTAATACAATGGGACCCATATGTGATCACATACCATATGAACTAAACCTAATTTATTCAACTATTGCATAAAATGTGTTAAATTTAATCGATCAAATCAAGATTTTCATATTCGGACAATATGGCTATCTATATAACTTTACTATCCTCAAACGTTTCACAGTCGACATAAATTAAGACCTTCAATATAAATGAATGTTCATGAAGATTTCAACTATCTGGAAGATTTATTGGCTTATTTTGAATGATGATGATAACATCCAGTATCAAAATCACATATATATATATATATATATATATATATATATATATATATATATATATATATATATTGAGTGAATGTTCACTGATGATTATGTGAAAACATATTAACCAACTAAATTTTCTATTATGTTAATTAAGTGAAATCCATAGGTAAACAATATTCTACATTTTAAAGATACTGAGATCACTTAAATTATATTGTATATTAAGAAAAGACTTTAATAGATCCAGTTAACATCAAACTGATGACTTTTTTGATGAGACTATAATTTATGGACTACTTTTGATCGATGTTAAAGTGACCTTGAGAGTGTCCGCCTAATAACTAGAACCAAATGAGGGTTATAAACCATTGTAAGGAATTATAATTATAATTTAAAGTTGATGGTTAAGGTTAGAAATTCAATTTAAGGTTTTCGTCATGAACTGACTTCAGCTATAATGCTAAAACTTTATTTCGTTAAATAGATGAATGAATTTCGCACCGAAATCCCAGACCTATTATCTCATACCTGATTGATTCGTCTATAAATTATAGTCTAACCGATAATTACAGCTAATTTTGTGTTATTATTCTGCTCTACTTGTGAATAAATTTGTCAGAAATCAAAAATATCTTCATTGTGATCCACCAGACAATATTAATATATTAATATAAACTAGCGGCTTACAAAAAAGTCTAGAAATTAAGAGCATAGATGTAAATGTGTTCTTTCCATTGTTTTCATTTCATGTCTTTTATTGAATCTTTAATCATTATTTCACGATGTATATTCAATTACATTTGTTATAATGAATACTTGAATACCGACAACATTATTATTGACTCATTAGCTTTCAACTTATGTCGCATATTGTAAACAGAGAATATCAAACAATTGATATTTAGACTAGATTCCTTACATTGTATAAAGTAACCAATAGGTTATTTAGTCTTTGTAAACGTTCGCTGTTATGCTTATTATTTTTTTGAAATATACTATATGATATGCTACATATTATTATAATGTTTAAACGTAATGTTTTTTTATTGATTTATTTAAACACATGAACATTAATACAAAGAGGCAACAAATAGATATGCGCCACACTTCGTCATTCGATTCCTGTAAAGGCTGGATCACTGTCCAGGTGCCCAAACTGAAGCAGATCGTTTTCATAGGAGGCCACACCCAAAGCCTTTGACCAGAAGGTCTAATCAACAAGACAGTTGAGCAATGTAAGGAGATGTAGTACCATGGTAACCGGTGATCAACGATTGGTTCATACGCCATTTGTTCCTTCAGGATACTGGAGCTCGTGTGCACCATTGGTTTGGAATCAGGGTTTTCCAACTCCCCTATGTGGACTCTCTGTGTCTAACAACCCGGTTAAAGCACCGGACATTCGCTTTTAGTCCTCTGAATTTCGTAAACAACACCCCGGCTACGAGAAGGCAGTGAGTAGGACTTCCCTGATAGAGGCTATCTACGCGTGGCTATGTGAGAGCATTTCGAGAAGGAGAACGGAAACTCTCCGCTCTCGGCCGTACCAGGGCATTTGGGGGCTGCGTACTGTATTCGGTAACTATGAATTATCAATTTAGAGTGTCAAATAATTTGGCATAATAAAAATTTGATTTCAAGAAGTTAGATCGATAACTAAAGAAAATCACTTGTGACGATTAGACAAGGGATAAAAATCATTAATAACCAGTCTTGTATCTATTTGTAAATCTAGAATTATACAAATTGAAAATAACCTACATGTAACTAATTTTCAACTCTGATTAGCATGGAACTATATAAAAGTATAATTACTTATTTTCACAGCTGAAGTAATGAACTAACTTGAGCTAGATCACTATTAAAAATCTGGTGTCATTGGACAACGGTCTCGTTCTGGTATGGAATTCGTCACTAGTGTGCATCCATGATCACTCACGTATGACTCAAACAGAAGACCTTCGGTTTCCCACAAAAATGTTTAAATTCTAGGTCACTGAGCCGGTATCTAACAATATTATCATCTAAGTCCAATCAACCCATAATCTTGCACAACCTTTCATTCATTACCTGCGGTAGATAACTATCTCACATCCGACAAGGTTCAGCTCTATTTGTCACAGCCCCTCAATAGAGCTTCAGAAGTTACATCATGAATCTAGTTACCAAAGAACAGTCGATTTCACTTACTATGAAACATTTTCAGAGATTATAGCATTTTCACAGTAATTCTAATTGCGAAAGTATTATTTATTTTCAGAATAGAGGTTTATGGTGATTGTGGTGATTTAGTAGTTGAATTCATCAATCCATTAAAGCTAGACTATTATGAAAAACCTGAATATACTGGACGGACGTTTCGTAAAGTCAAAACGGAATTAAAAAATACTTCACTCATTATCTCACTTGGATCATTTTATTTTAATAATTATGCTTCCCAAAATATCTGTTATGAAATGGAATGCAAGTATGTGAATTCGTATGAGTGGGAGCTAATTTTCAAAATCATACGTTAAGCTGAATTAAACACATCAGTAACTGACAGATGTGTACTCATTGCAATAAACTTTCTAATATTACATCAATAGACAAATTGAAATAATCAAGTACTCTTCGACCACGACATAATTGAATACTACATTTCTCTTTTATATCGGGTGATAATAAGCAAAATTGAAGTCCACTTTACTTAACACTACATATAATGAACATCCTTTTATGTACTGATAAACAAACTTTAAAAAAAATAATCATACAATAAATTTCAATCATATACCACATAACGGAAGTGATCAAAAATGCGCACTGCTAAGGAGTCCCATAATAGGACAAGACGACTGTCCAGTGCTTTCAGTTTTTCCATGATAGTCTAGCTTTAATCGACTCACGATATCAATTATTAAACAACATTACTACAATATCCACAAAATCCCATTCTGAAAATAATAATCATGTGTTCACTAGTAACTGGATTCACGAGGTATTTCCTGGAGTTCTATTGAGAAGCAGTGACCAGTGGAATTCAAACGGGTCTGTTGTGAGATAGGAACTCAATGAAGACAATGGTGGATGTGTCTCTCAATTTCGTGGATTAGTTGAGTTGAGACATTAACACTGTTGTATGTCAGCTCAGTGGTCTGATGGTTAAGCGCCTGGCGCAAGACTCATAGGTCCTGGGTTCGAATCCCGTGGGGCAGGGTTTTAGATGCGCACTGCTGAGAAGTCTCACAATAGGATGAAACCGCTGTGCAATACTTCCAGGTTTTCAATGATGGTCTAGCTTCAATTGACTCATGATTTCAAGTACTGAAAGATAATAATAACATTTCGTAATCACATTTTAAGTGAATGAAGATTTACAATAGGACATAGTCATAATAAATAATATCAGTTACATTTATATTGTACAATCTCAATGAACAAAATGTTTTACTAAGCATCTGAATAAACATTATGTAATCTTACAATTATATGTATCAACTTAAATCAATTTACAAGCCTACACAAATTAAATTAACTACATATTGGAAGTAAATTACAATATTCTGTCATATAAACTCTATATATTCCCTTGAAGTAAAAACAAGAATATGGAAAACGATTTCCCCTCCCCCCCCCCAAAAGAAAACAACCGGATTATGTAATCTATAAAACAAAAATAAATGTTAGACTAGTTCCGTTCAATATCGATTTTTTTGTCTCTGTAATTATTTTTAAAAACAAAACAAAAAAGTGAATTATCAAACAGGGATTTTGTGGAGATTTTAATTAAAATTCATGAATCAATTAAAAATAGACCACCATGGGAAACCTAAAAATCACTGAACCGCCATTTTGTAATCAAAATTTCAACATTCAATATGATTTAATACAAATTTTAAAAAGATAAATGTGATTTAAATATACACAAATGTATCCGGTAGTTTTGTATTTCTTTTTGTAATTGAATACATCATAATTGAAAATATAATCTTGTTGACATTTACATAATCAGCTTATAATGTAACTTTATTGTCCTACATACTTTTACTTTACTGTTCTGTCGTTTTTGACTAGTTATATAATCAAAGTGGTAGGTTTAGTTTACATAAATATATTCTATATACCTTAAATAATAATTTTGAAAAAAACCCATTAAAAGAGATCAAACAGAAAACTATTTGAGAAAATAGATAAATAGGAAAACGTTAAAAATGTTCTCCATGTTTTTTTCTTCTCATATTTATTTCAATATAAAAGTGATTTGTCATCCAACGATAGAAGCAAAACAGGAATTGGGGAGGGATCAGAGGTTTATAATAATATCCAGTTTACGTACATGAACAGATCAGTATACCCAGTTCCATAGTTTTACACCTCTTCAATACAAAATAAATTTGATTAAATGTCTCAGACACAAAACCAAACTATTATTAAAAATTTCACAGATTGAAATCATGAGTCAATTGAAGCTATATCACCATGGAAAACCTGGAAGCACTGGACGGCCGTCTCGTCCTAGGATGGGATTCCTCAGCAGTGCGCATCCAGGATCCCGCGCCCCATGAGATTCGAACCCAGGACCTTTCAGTCTCGCGCCATGCGCTTAACCAACTAGACCACTGACCTGGCATCCAATGGTGTTAATGTCTAACTTCAACCAATCCACGAAGTTTCGCCACCGTACACCATTGTCTTCAATGAGTCGTTATCTCATAGCAGACCTGATTGAACTCCACTGGTAACGGCTTCTCACTAGAACTCCAGGAGTGTCTCCCGGATGCGCACTGCTCAGGAG